GTCTCTAGTCAGGCTAATTCTTATCTTTATTTGGCAGGAAGAGTGATACCAGAAAGTTTAGTTTACAGCTTTGGGACCCTATTGCTTGATCTGCTCAGTGGAAAACATATTCCCCCAAGCCATGTAGGATTTCTTTTCTTTATAATAATCGAGGTGGATGGTCTGATATTTTTCTTGACATCTGTGGCACTTTATGGCCTACAAAAGTAACTTGTTTAAAATTGCTTTAAGCATTTACCAAATTTCCCAAGTTAAATCTATCTGGTTGTGTTGCACTCTCAGCATTTACTGCTTATGTAATTGGCTTCAATTTTTTCTGAATTATGTAGTGATTACAATTTCATTGAAACCAGATTAAGATTGTCATATTAGGAAGCTTCTAGCTGAATAATTACGTATTTTCTTTGTGGAAGGCACTTGACCTGATACGCGGCAAAAACTTTTTGATGCTGATGGACTCATGCTTGGAAGGTCATTTCTCAAATGATGATGGAACTGAGCTGGTGAGGTTAGCTTCGCGATGCTTGCAGTATGAACCTCGTGAAAGGCCAAACGCCAAGTCTCTTGTGACTGCCCTCATTCCTCTTCAAAAAGAAACTGAGGTGTGCTGATGCAAAACTAATTTGATTTTCTCTGTTTTGCACAACTGGTTTGCAGTAACGCTGCAAATAGAATACCATGAAGGTATTATGTCATCTCATGTAGTGGTTTGTAGCAGGTTCCATCATACGTTTTGTTGGGTATTCCACATGGAAATACGCCTCTGAATCAGACATCGTTGTCACCTCTAGGTGAAGCTTGCTCGAGATTGGATCTTACTGCAATACATGAAATATTGGAGAAGCTTGGATACAAGGATGATGAGGGGGTCACAAATGATGTTAGTGATCCTCAATTCTAACTTTTCTATTGTCTATTTTCTGACATATGCCAGCCATTATTATTATCTTTTCGGTCATCAATATCATGCCGCAGTTGTGTATGAGCTGCTTTTTATGTTGGTTCTTGTGTAATGCACTGCCCTTACTTTGAAGTTACCTTGCAGCTTTCTTTCCAAATGTGGACAAATCAAATACAAGAGACATTGAACTCTAAGACTCATGCAGATGCTGCATTTCGAGCAAAAGACTTTGCTACCGCCATAGATTCGTATACAGAAGTAAGGCACAAACTTAGGATTACAAAATATGTTGGTCATAAGTTCTGTCATTAGAATCCAGATACTATTAATCAATACCTGTGATATTAGGAAGATGTTCATTTAGTTGAAAGCTTTAGCGATATAATTTGTTTCTTTATCTAGACCAGTCAAGAAAATTACATAGAAAACTTATTAGCGGTTGGGCTTTTCTGTCTCGTAATAGAAATCTATGACTTTCCATAAATTTTACATGATTAGAAACGGTAATCCCTAAGAAAATATTTGCTGTACCAGCCGGCTACTTTTCATTTGACAGATAGAGAGTAGGACTGGATATGCTTCTCATCTTACTCATAGGCAGATCTTTGTTTCTTTTTATTGCAGTTCATTGACGGTGGAACAATGATATCCCCAACTGTGTTTGCTCGACGTTGCTTATGTTACTTGATGAATGGCATGGCGCAAGAAGCTCTTGGAGATGCAATGCAAGCCCTAGTAATAAACCCCGAATGGCCGACTGGATTCTATCTTCAAGCGGCTGCCCTCAAGAGCCTGGGGATGGACAATGATGCGCAGGAAACGCTAAAAGACGGATCATCCTTGGAAGCCAAAAGAGAGAAAAACTGAAATTGTATAGGTGCTTTCTCCTCTTCATTTAAATTTGTATCTAGTTTTCTTTCCCAATTTGGCATTTGGTCTTGGTGTTTTTTTCTTCTTGTATTTTGATATATAGGAATCAAGTTTCTTTGTTTGTTTCCTCATGTAACATGTCCCTTTGGAACAATATGTTACATTACATGCCATTTATTATTATTATTTACCTTTTTAATCCAAGAAAAATTATCATATCTCAACCAAGAAAAAAGGAGTTCTCATTTCGCATGCTTGGGCTTGTGGCTTGAGAAAACCCAATCTAGCCACGTTTAATTGGGCTGGGCCTCGGTCAAAGCCGTTAAGTCCGGACCTGACAAAGTCGAGCTCATTGTGGCCTGACTCAAGCCTTTAGATAACATTGTGTCAATACTCCCTAGACCTTGAGGGGTTGATTTAGACAGTACAAGGTTTACAGTACTCTCACATGTGGATCTTATTTCTCTCTAATTGCTGGGACCTTAAATCACAATCTACGGCTGCTAGACGTTGCTTGTGTCATTTGACGAGTACACAAAAAATCTTGTTGATTCGCGGTGTTGGACTATTTGGCCGGGTCTTTGTGAAACTTTGACAAAAAGCTGGCACATCCTTGCAAGTTAAAAGCTCACCTAAACAGAAAAGGGGTAGAAGGTGTTGTTCTTGTTCCCTTTTTTTGGTAGGGCTGGGCACTTGGAACCAAAAATCGAAACTAAAACATAAATCAAATCGAATTGCACCGAACAATTTGGTTTTGTGGTTTTGAAACGATTTCGGTTTGAAACCGAATAGCAGTGTAGGAAAATGGTTTGGTTTTGGTTTTAGCTTTTGAAAACCGCACCGAAACCAAACCACACCGCAAATATTAAAAATACCTTTAATTAAATATCCATATTAGATGTTATGTTTTAATTAGTTGTTTGTTACACTTCATACATTTAATTAGTTGTTTCCTGCTTAGTGCTACTCTCGGTCTCATTTGGCACTGGGGACAAAACATTTTTCATAATATTGGGGACAAAACATTATCAAAATATTAGTTCCTGTGTATGCATGTAAATCAGATTCAGATATGTATGTTTTTTGTCCTCAATTGCTCTATTTTGGCGATTATTACTTTTCTTAGGCGCTGATCGCGGGTCCTAGGCAAGGTACTGAAGGCTTCAATATTGGTTTTTTTGGGTGATGAATGTGAAAGGGTAATAGATATCGACAATGGTACCTTAATTTGTAAAAAAATCTGTTTATTTTGGTTGAAAATAGAATTTTTTTTCATTTTGTATGTAAATGGTTTGAAATTGAATCGAACCGAACCAAACTATTTGGTTTCATTTCGATTTTGATTTCAAAATCGCATCGAACCGAACCGTAAAAAATTGTGGTTTCGGTTTCACTTAAAACCTCACCAAACCAAACTGTGTCCACCCCTACTTTCTGAAAGAGGCATGAGGATCTTCTTGTGAGGATCCCAATTCATCTTGGTCGTTCATCGTACATTGTGCGGTCAGTTTTTTTTTAGGTACTATTTGTATTCAATTTTAAATAAAAAAACTTAAAATGATTTATGGCCGCAGAATGATTGATGAACAATAGGATGAACTGATCCGTAGAATTCTCACAAAGAGGATTCGAATAGGATCCTATTCCTGAAAGAGTACTATCATATTGCCATCTCAGATGACAAGTCAGCACAAAATCCATGTCAGCACTGTGAATCAAGTCAGCAATTGCTTGACTCGGTTAGTTAATGTTTGACTATTAGTTGTTAAATGTGTGATTAGCTCCTTTTTATCTTTTCGGAGTCAGAAAATGAGAGGAATTTCATAGAAAGCTGGCAAGGCTTTTGCATATTACGCGTTCTCGTGGACGCAGGAATTCGAAAGGGAAAAGAAAGTACATAAAACTGTCGCATATTAAACTGTAGGACCCGTTGCCATTTGTTCTTTTCACCAATGGAAAATGGATTTTTTCCTAATCCATTTCATCTAATCATTTTTATCAAATAATCCGGATTCTTGAAATTTGATTCAACAACTACAAACACGGACACACTCTAAAAGTTATAATAACTTTAACCGTTAGATCAAATTTCAAGATCCCGAATTGTTTGATGAAGAAGATTAGATGGAAGGGATCCAGAGGTGATCCCTTTCCTTCACCAATGACAAAAAAAATTCAGCTCGTCAACTCAACTCAAATTTGGAAAATGCTAGAAAGACCAAATTTTTGGACCATGTTTTATAAATCACATGAATGTGGTAGTTGATTGTTGAAACTTTTTCTTTAATAATTTAAAGAACATGAATTTATAAGCCGGATAATGCTAGGTAGATCAAAATTAATTGCAAATTTACTTCAAAATATTCGTTCCCTTAGCATTGTCATTTGTAAGTCACGTCATGTGATTTACGAGAAATGGTTTAAAATTTAGTTTATCTAGTATCACCATACAAAATATAATTCAAAACACAAAACGCTCAATGCAATTAGTAATCGAGCAACTCAACATATGTAATATCGCGAGTTTTCTGACGTGAGCTTTACACTCTTCAACAAATTCAAAGAGTTGTGTGTGAAAGGTTTCCCTTCTATTGTCACGAAACAGGACTTGTGCTTAATTTGGAAGGAAGTTTCCCTTCTAGTTCTGGTTGACTTTGCGCCCTTCCCGACCGAAGTGAATGCGACAACGGTGTGGTGGCTTCCTCTACATAAAAATATCGCATGTTAAACTATAGGACGCGTAGCCATTTGGTCATTTCACCAATGACAAAAAAAATCAGCTTGTCAACTCAATTCAAATTTAGAAAACGGTAGAGAAACTAAATTTTTAGACTATCTTTTATAAATCACACAATATGACGGTTCATTGTTGAAACCTTTTTTAATAATTTAAAGAAGATGGATTTGTAAGCCGGATAACGCTAGGTAGACCAAAATTAGTTGCAAATTTGGTTCCCCTAACATTATCATTTGTAAATCACGTCATGAGATTTACGAGAAATAGTTTTAAATTTTGATCTCTCTAGTATTACCCTTCAAATTTTATTCAAAATACAAAACGCTTAATACGATTAGTAATCGAACAACTCAACATATGTAAAATCGTGAGTTTTGTGACGTGAGATTTACGCTCTACAACAAATTCAAAGAGTTGTGTGTGAAAAGGTTTCCCTTCTAGTGTCACAAAACACGACTCGTTGCTTAATTCGGAAGGAAGTTTCCCTTCTAGTTCTGGTTTGACATTGCGCCCTTCCGGTCCAAAGTCAATGCGAAAACTGCGTGGTGGCTTCCTCTACAAATAATATACCGCCACTGCGAAGTGGCAGCAGAAGCAGAGACGCCGGCCACAAACACTTTAGAGAGAGAAAGCCATACAGTTACATATTTCAGAGCTCGTTTCTCTCACTAGATTTTGATTCCTCAGCCAAATGGGAAACGGTTTCTGCCTTTGCTTCCGGCCGTGCAACACCATATCGAATATCGAAGACTCGTTAGACGCAGGCGAGGCGCTTTTCTGTTGATTCTTTTACACTTTCTTTTTTTCCGTCACTTTCCCGGGAAAATCCCGACTTTTTTCTTATTTTTCTTGCGTGAAATGCAGAGAATAGGGGCAGGGACAAAATGGACTCTCCGTCTCTGGTGCCGGCGTTCAGTGAGTTCAGCCTGCACCAACTGAAAGCTGCCACATCGCAGTTCTCGTCGGAGAACGTTGTCTCCAAGCACGGCGAGGATGCTCCTAATGTGGTCTACAAAGGCAAGCTCCAAGACGGCCGTTGCATCGCTGTTAAGCGCTTCAGCTGCTCCGCTTGGCCTGATTCCCGCCAATTTCTGGTCAGTTTGACACGCTAAATTTTTCTTCATTAAATTTGCTTTTAAATTTGTGTATGTAATGTAGTCTTGTAATACGGCGATGAAACAGACATTCGTTCTTCAATAGGTGCTGCATAAATAAAGAAGGGACGTCCTGCACAGAGAATTTCTGTAGTAATATACTAATATGTGTTGTGTATGGTTATAGGAGAACGCTAGAGCTGTGGGGCGTCTGAGGAACGAGTTTTTGGCGAATCTGATCGGGTGCTGCTGTGAGCGCGATCAGAGATTGCTTGTGGCAGAATTTATGCCTAATGAAACTCTCTCGAAGCATCTTTTCCATTGTAAGTACCACTCTAATGTTAAAATTCTTTTCTTTGCTAGTCTGAGGTTTATTTTTTGATTACTGGTATGTTTATGATGAAAATAGGATTTGTCAATTAATCCCCAGATTTGTTATGGACACAGATCATTCAAGATTTTGATTTTTTTGGTGTTACTTTTTCGGTCTAAGAGAAGTAGAAACTTTAATTATTGAATCGGTTGCAATTGGTGTAGGTGAGAACCAGCGTATGAAATGGGCAATGAGGATGCGAGCGGCGTTGTACACGGCACAAGCTTTGGCCTATTGCAGCAGTAAAGGGCAGGCGTCGTTCCAAGATCTTAATACTTGCAAAGTCCTGTTTGATCAGGTAATTTTATAATTGTGGCTGTGAGGCTTTTACTCTTTTAGATATTGTAGGTAGCATTTTGATTGTCATTGCTTACACTGAGTTAACACTTGACAGGATTGGAATCCCAGACTCTCCTGCTTTGGATTCATGGAGAATAGCAAGGATGGCAAGAGCTATAGTACCAACCTCACTTTCAGCCCTCCTGAATTCACAAATAAAGGTAACACCCTCATTGCTTCAGCCAACAGAGACCAGTATTCAATCTTGTAATGCATACACTGTCTGGTAGAAGAGGGAGAGGGGACGGAAATTACGAGCTTACAGCTTCTATATCAGTATGCATGAGTATTGAATAAATTTCCCGAGGCAGGGAAGTCCTTGATTGAGCTAACATATAATTTTCGGTTGGCAGGAAAAGTGATACCGGAAAGCGTGGTTTACGGCTTTGGAACCCTGTTGCTTGATCTGCTCAGCGGTAGACGTATCCCACCAGCCCATGTAAATTTTCTTTTCCTAATGTCTTTCATTGACGTGGATCGTTGTTCTGATATTTTTATTGACATCCAGTGGAAGATTTGTGGCCTATAAGTGTAACTTGTGCTTTAATGTGCTCCAAGTTAAAGCTATCTCTGCTTGTGTATCATTCACAGCATTTCGAGATTAAATATTTGGCTCTTAAATGTTTATGAATTGAGTGATTAATTCCATTTGAAATGTTTTAACTGAATTCTTTTCAATTTTCTCTCTGCAAGGCGCTTGAACTCATAAGCGATAAAAATTTGTCGCTGCTGTTGGACTCATGCTTAGAAGGCCATGTCTCGAATGATGATGGAACTGCACTGGTGCAGTTAGCTTCACAATGCTTGCAGTCTGAACCTCGTAAGAGGCCGAATGTCATGTCTCTTGTGGCTGCCCTCGTACCTCTTCAAAAAGAAACTGAGGTATGCCAGGCTTTATTTATCTGGAAAGGTCATGCTTTAGCATACGCGTTGAAATGTGATTTGGTATTGCCTCTGTTTCAAAATGCTTATTTGCAAATGGAATACCTTAAAGGTGGAATATACTTTCATCCAGTGGTTTGTCGCAGGTTCCGTCATATGTTTTGAGGGGTATCCCCCATGGAATGTGCCTCCAAAGTCGCCGACATTTCTATCACCTCTAGCTGATGCTTGCAGAAGATTGGATCTAACTGCAATACATGAAATATTGGTGAAAGTTAGATACGTGGATGATGAAACTAGGCACGAAGTTAGTGATCTCAATTCTAACTTCTGAATGTTCTATTTTGTGAGATCTGCCAAGGGAAAAGAACTGGCTTTCTATCTTGCAGTGATCACTTACGTTTATTACCAACCAGTTTATGCTAAACTATGTCTAACGCACGACCCTTACTTAAATTCCCTTGCAGCTTTCTTTCGATATGTGGACAGAGCCAATGAAGGAGGCAATAGATTTTAGGCAGAAGGGGGATGCTGCATTCAAAGAGAAGAATGTTGCCGTTGCAATAAGTTCTTACTCAGAAGTAAGTCACTAATCTTGAACTGCAAACTAATCTTGAACTGCAAAGTATCTTGTCATAATTTCTTTAGTGTCCAGATATATTGGAAAGTCACTTGATTTTGTTAGTGAACAAGATATAATTAGCGGTGGGGTTATGGAAACTAAGCTATGATAACTTAAAAAATACACTTTACCAGTTTAGTACTACGCATATTAAATGGATATATAGTAGAAATGGATTCACTTATCAGTTTAGTCCTAAGTGAATCTTCTTACTTTCGTTGCAGTACTTTGGTCGTGTGACCGTGAGATCGCCAACTATGCTGGTTAGACGGAGCTTGTGTTACTTGATGAGTAGCAAGGCAGAAGAAGCTCTTCGAGATGGCCAGGAAGCCCTAGCAGAAAAGCGTGAGTGGCCAACTGCCTTCTATCTTCAAGCAGCTGCCCTAAAGAGCCTCGGGATGGAAAATGACGCGGAGGAAATTCTAAACGTTGGGACATCCTTGGAAGTCAAGAAACTGGATATAAGCTGAAAAGTGAGTAATACGTGGTTTTTCCTCTTCGGCGTCTGAGTTCTTCTGATGCAGCACGAAAGGATTGGCCCTAACAATCTTTAGGTTGGTCTTCACGTATATTTTCATTTATTTTGATCTGTAGAAGCCAGTGGCTATATAGAAGTCAAGACAGTTGTTGTTTCCTCTTCTATACATGTTCAGATACTGATGTTGGTCTGAGAGGCTCAAGATCTTTTAAGCCCTTAACACAAAGACTTCATGTTTAGTACGTGAGAAACTCTTAGCACGTTTCCTCATGTGTAGGGTATCTTGAGCGTAACACGTGTTCAAATTTTAATATTAACGAGAGATTGTTTGGCATGGATATTCTTTAAATATCATGTTAAAATGTGAACATTGAACTTAAAACCAATTGTCAATAATCATCACTGGAATGTAAAAACCTACGTTGCTAATATGATCATGTTAACAAGCTACTTAGAATTACAGTTTAGTAATATTTCTCTTTACTTATGAAAGCGAGAGGTTTTAGATTGAATTCTCGCCAAAGATAGATTTGAACCACATTATTACTACCCATTGTGAGCCTTAGCCCACTCCCCACCCTTTTAGTGCATATATCATTTGTTCAAAAATATATAAGATATGTTAACAGGCGAAATTCCCCCTCTTGACTTTGGAACGTAAAGGTGATCAAATGTCTCCTCCGCGTCCCCACACAATTTTACGTCGGACGACTTTTTCACGGTTAATGTTGACCATGAGTTTCTGGTCCCTCCTATTTCCACCCAGCAGGAAACTGCATAGAAATAAGACCTAAAAATTTGGAAAGTGAGTAGAACACTCCTGGTCTCCTACCACCCAGCTGGAAACTGCACAGAAATCAGACCTACAAGATTAAATCTTAAGAAGAATGGGGTTGCTGCGTTCTGAGCAAAAGACTTTGCTACTGTGACAGATAGTTACACCGGGGATGTGTTACATTTAGAGCGAAAGACTTTGCTGTCACGATACCTTTGTACACAAAAGTGAGTCCCTAACTTAGTTTTTTTATCTTATCGCAAAAACATTACTAGACGAGCCTTTAACTTGGGGGATGTTGTATTTTCGTCCTAAGTTTAGAGGATCATTTAGTAGTGCTTTTAGAGAGGCTAAAAACATTTCTGGCAATATTTGTTAGAAAAATTTATAAGTGCTTCTGAAGTCTTAAAGCACTTGAAGAAGCACTAGAATGTTTAGTAATGTGCTATAAAAGCACTTCTATTAAGGTGTCACCAAACCATCGAAAATCCTCGTAACTTTTCCTTAACAAAGCTGCCGAAAAGGTAGAAGCATCCCAACATTTTAAGGTGTAACCAAAGTCTAAGGTTATAAAAAACGTTAGGCGCTAGTCGGGCGGCAGACTGCAAAATAGGAGGAAAATAAGGAAATATAGTAATGTAGATAGGATTTTTTTTTTTAAATTAAAAAAAAAAAAAAAAAAAAAAAAAAAACCTCCTAGCCTCCTAGCCGCCTAGGGCCTCCTCGCCCGCCTAGGGCCGCCTCACCCACCTAGGCGCCGCCTAGACCCTAACTGATTTTTCCAACCGATTTGCAAGAAAATACCTCGGGTCACCACCGCCTAGCGCCTACGCGGCTGCCTAGGCCCTTTTTTAGAACATTGAACCAAACCATCGAAAACACTGGCAATTATTCAAGAAAAGAAAATATTAAGAACTCTTCACTATGAATGCCCAATTCTACTATGGACTTGACATAGGGCGACGTGTGATAAAACCTGTCCTATTTCTTCCGTAGACCAACAAAATGGAATCACCTTATGACAGTCAATTAGAATCTCCACATCGCCGGAGAACCATCCAAGCATCTATCCGAGGAAGAGCAGATGTCTAACAACATTTTACATAGGAGGCCTACCAGAACCAAGCAGCTGGCCGACTAGATTAGTCACCTGCAAACAACAAAATGTTTCGATCATATAAACATGAAAAAAATAACTTGCATTCACATAATCATAGATGCAGCAGTAGCAAAAGTTGTGAACGTTTATTGCTTAGTTTCCATCAAAAGCGTTCAACTGGTAAAGACCAACACTCAAATTTAAAAATATGTACTCTAAAAAATCGCAATCGCAGTAGTTTTCGGAATTTTCAAAGAAATTATTTGGAGGGATGCAGTGGAAGTAGCTAAAGAGAATAAATCAAAGTGACAAATACCAACGACAGCAGAAATGAAGAAATAAAAATATTTGAAGGATGACTGGGATTGTTCTTATAACGTAATCCAAGTAATACGCTAGAACTAAAATCATATGAAACAGATAGATACTTACATGCCAGTATTTTGACACACACCGATCAATGCAACTGTTTTCACCCATATTAGCTCAGCCTCCTTGTACCTGGATGTATTTGACAAATCACATTTACTAACTTCAGTTTTCCAAAAAGGACCTTAGAGTAAACTGCTGCATATCTTTCATAGAGGTCCATAAGAACTAAATAGAGAAAAGAAAAGGGTTCTCATACTTCTTCTCGACGCACTTGTTGAAACATGTGTGAGTAAGCCTGAATGAATAAACAATTAAATGCTTGCAGTCTGAACCTTGTAAGAGGCCATGTCTCAAATGATGAGGGAACTGCACTGGTGCAGTTAGCTTCACAGTGCTTGCAGTCTGAACCTCGTAAGAGGCCGAATGTCAAGTCTCTTGTGACTGCCCTCGTACCTCTTCAAAAAGAAACTGACGTATGCCAGGCTTTATTTATCTGGAATGGTTATGCTTTAAAATACGCGTTGAAATGTAATTTGGTATTGCCTCTGTTTCAAAATGCTGATTTACATCAATGCTGCAAATGGAATACCTTGAAGTTAGAATATCCTTTCATCCAGTGGTTTGTTGCAGGTTCCTTCATATGTTTTGATGGGTATCCCCACGTGGAAATGTGCCTCCAAAGTCGCCGACATTGCTATCACCTCTAGCTGATGCTTGCAGAAGATTGGATATAACTGCAATACATGAAATATTGGTGAAAGTTAGATACGAGGATGACGAAACTAGGCACGAAGTTAGTGATCTCAATTCTAACTTCTGAATGTTCTATTTTGTGATATCTGCCAAGGGAAAAGAACTGGCTTTCTATCTTGCAGTGATCACTTACGTTTATTACCAAAATGTGAAATCCCGTCCCCGGAATTTCACTATTCATTACGTATCTCGTTATTTAAATTCGTATTTTATGTTTACATTACCTTTATTACTTAATTTTAATTCCGTTAATTTTCGAATTAAATCGAATAGTATCAAGTTTGAATTTTTGTAATTAATCTTTAAAATTAAAAATTCGTTGACATTTTGAGGTCACAATTAATGTTTTCGAATAGATCTCGAAATCACAAGCGTATAGACAAAAGCCGTTAGTGAATCGGGAGTATAACGGAAAGTTACGGACATTTGGAATCGTTTTACTAAACTTTAGTTTATAAATTAATGAACTCCCACTACGTGGGAATGGGAACAACAAACCAGAAGTGAGGATTCGGCCCAATCAGAAGGGGAACTAGTGACCAATCAAATTAAAGAAGTGAGGACCAATCAGTTGAGGGAGAGAGTGAGCCAATTAGGATAGGAGAGAGAAAGCTTCCCAGCCTTCCTTTCGACCCGACAACCCTGCGCCAATCCGGACTGTGACCCGGTTGGTTTCCGGTGGTTCTCAGCCAATTTTCAGGCAAATTTCGCCCAGCCATCACTTGCTAGCAACCTCCCGACCCCTGTACTACCATTTTCCCTTCCAAACCCGAGCCTTTTGGCTTTTAATTCTGTGAAGGACGAAGTGCGACTCCGGTGGTCTTCGACGCCGATCCCCGATCCGGCGAATTACACCACCCATCAGCACCCTTAATCTAACCCCCTTGGATCCAGGAACAAGACCCAACCAGTTGTAGGGGCGGCGGAACACCGAGTAAGGAGAATCGAAGCGCACCCTTTCTAGGGTTTCAGACGGGTGCTAGCCGATTTGGGGCTTTTTCCGGCCAATTGGGTTTGACCACAGGTATAAAACTTGCTCTACTCATTAAGATCCTTATTCTGATAAAATTTAGTAATTTTTGGAGCAGGTGAAATTTTTCTGCGAGTCCGGGCAGCACATGGGCCCCACCTAACCTTCTTAGGCTAATTTGATGCCCCGATTCCATATTTGACATCCAATTAACGAAATTCCGTCGTTTGAGTATATTTTCGTTAAGGTCCGCCACTTGAATATTCTAACTAAAGACGATCTGACTGTTGGATCGCCACGAAACTTTGAAGTACTATTGTACGTAATATTCAAGGACCTTAGAAACTTACAAATCAAAAATCTAATGGTTAGATCTTACGAAGCAAGTGACTGAGGATCATGGACCCTACCTTTGAACGACGGTTCAATCTCTCTTAAAATGTTATTGTGGGGAACTTATAGAAGTTGTGGATGTATGATTTATTGAAAGAATTCTAAATGTGGACTTGTACTTTGTTTTAGGCGGCAACAATGCGTGACGTCTCGTTTCTCGTGCTAGGGTGTGTTAGCACGGATTCCAGGTGAGTGACTTTAATATATGTGATTGTAAAACCCGAAAATTCTCGTGCTAATATACTTTGATACAACATATTTTTTATAATATTTTGGGGTAAATTCTTTGTTAATTTGCCATGATCTATCTTCGTAGGGTTAGGTTTGGGATGGTTGTGACAAAGGCCGTCGGTTATTGAAGGAGAACAGTTAGCTGGTCTCAAGGGTGGTACTTGAGTTGATGGATGTGGCGGACTCTCAAGGGCTTTGGGCTAATCTTGAGAAACGATTGGAGTGGGATGTTGAGTGATGGTCAAAGGGCGTTGGGGCTTGATCTTAGGATGAACGGATGATGAACGATGAACACTTTCCTCAAGGGCCGTCGGGGCTTGATCTTGAGTTGATAGAAGTTCTTCAAGGGCCGTTGGGGCTTGATCTTGAAGGTTGATGGATGAGCGGATCTTTAAGGGCTTTTGGGCTTAATCTTGAAGAACGATTGGATGTGTGGATTTGTTGAGGTTGTTGATCCAAAGGGTCGTTAGGGCTTGATCTTAGGATGAACGGATGATGAACGATGAACACTTTCCTCAAGGGCCGTCGGGGCTTGATCTTGAGTTGGTGGAAGTTCTTCAAGGGCCGTTGGGGCTTGATCTTGAAGGTTGATGGATGAGCGGATCTTCAAGTGTTGGAAGTATGCCCACAAAGCCACTCATTTGATGTAATAGCTTTTTGGAATACTTATTGTATTAAACTTTTATATGTTTAATAGAGGGCAAAGCTTATTGTTAATCACTATTTATAGTATCTTGTGTTTAAGCAATAAGGGAATCCAAGGAATGTATTTGATCTAAGAGACAAGTGATTTAAGTTAGTTAAATTAACGAGACCTTTCTCTTATGTTCATTCCTAAAACGTTCCTAGCCATAGGATTGCCAATTGGGCATTGACAATCCGTTAAGGTTAGTATGTGTTATGTCGACTCAAGCGTAAGTATGAACTAGTCTCAAGTCATTTGGTGTTGGACACTAAGGCAAACACATAGGTGCTCAAAAGAGTAATCGAGTACACTGAACAACGATCAAACGAGAGTTCGAACATACATGTCATGTGAGAACTCAATAGTTGCAATATGCAAAGTAGTCCTTTGACCTGAGGCATCATTGATGTCTAATGGTTAGGTCCTTGATATTTGATTATGTCAACGGCATTCCATTGGAGTGTCCACGCCATTGTTGGGGTCAAGCTATCTAGTCATGTAGGCATATGAATGCACAACAAGGGATCTCTAACCTTCCATGATGGAAGGAGAATACTCTAAGATATGATTCGAGAGTCTTTGGCCAAAGCATATGAATATGACTAAGGAAGATGTTCCAAATCTTATTCAATTGAATCATATAGAGAAGTATCACATTGGATAGTAGACATGAAACAAACTATCACTTAAACAATGTGATTAGGAGTATTGTATTAGAGAATGACCGTATTGCATTGTAGTTGTAACTGGATAGGTTCTCCAACCACTTCTACTTAGTTTGGGTAACCATGACATGCTGCTAGGCGTCACCCATGGTTTGTGGAAGCCCTAAAGATTAGCAAACACTAATTTTAAGGGAGAATTGAAATGTGGTTTCAATTCACAATCGATCGTTAAGAGTAACATCGCCCACTACCTCGCTAATTGGAACCTAATGGATCGTACACCGAGTAAAGATATAAGTGAAGAAATTATATGAAATGGATAAACAATTAAATGGTTTAATTGAAGAATGGTCAAGATTAATTAATTAGTTAATTAATTATACGAAACGTTCGTATTGGGCGTTTAAGTTAGTTTTGGGCTTCGGGGCACAAAAACGTTTTGGTCCACAAGGCCCATTATGTTTACGTTGTATGACAACTAAAACAAAATGGGCAATTAAGCCCAATAACAACTAATGGCCGGCCATAAGGGTGGACGGTAGTGAACTTGGCTTAATTGCAAGTTTGCCACTCCATTGTGAGGTGGTATAAAGACATCTTTATAGCCATTTCATCCTTAGGGTTTTCTAATTGAATTTGGGTGAAACCTATTCTCTCATTTTCTACATAGAGGCCGGCCACCTTAGGTGAGGAACATCTAGCAATCTTTCTTCCCTAAGTCATCCATTTCATCTTCACACAACATCTTTGGTGTGGAGACTTAGAGACACCAAACTTTTGGTGTTTTGGAGAACAAATCCTCAAATCCTCAAAGAAGAAAAGGAGCACTAAAAGGGAGAAAATCACAAGGAAGATCCAAAGAGCAAGGAGGTGACTTGAAGGCCCTCCACTTGGGTGAATCCCTTGTGCAATCAAGGATGAGCTTCAAGGGTAAAGAATCTCTAAAATTCTTATTCTCTTTAATATTGTTAAAGAGTCTTATGGTTCACCATATACTAGGCTTTGAAAGTCATGGGTTTTATGAATTGTTTTTGAATGCATGCCTACTTTAAAGTGTTATTAGTTTGCATATGTATTCAAATGTTCTTACATGTTCTTAGCTAGGACAAAATTTTTCCTTCATCAAGGGCTTTTGGGGTTAATCTTGAAGAACAATTGGATGTGTGGATTTGTTGAGGTTGTTGATCCAAAGGGCCGTTGGGGCTTGATCTTAGGATGAACGGATGATGAACGATGAACACTTTCCTCAAGGGCCGTCGGGGCTTGATCTTGAGTTGGTGGAAGTTCTTCAAGGGCCGTTGGGGCTTGATCTTGAAGGAGGATTTGACGAAGAACGAAGAGTGCTTTCTTGATCCTTCGGGATTTGCTTGAGAGCTTTAGAGTTTCAAGGCTTCAAGGTTTTGGTGTGATATCAATTTCCCTTCCTTTCTTCCCTTCTTTCCAAATGAATGCGTTGGCTTCTAGTTATAGAATTCCAAAACTGGTTTTTGGAGTTTAAATAATCAGATAAATAAATCCATTTCTGCCAGGTATTGAACATGTGTCCTATTTGATGACTTTTTTGCCATTTTATTTCGATTTTTCGTTGATCACACGCTACATGTAAAATGTATGTAACACGTGGAGCGGTGAAATTTTACTTATGGTCAACAGTCATTTCACCGAAATTTTGATATCTACAGTGATATAGTTATCACCCTGAAAACTCTCGTGCTAATATACTTTGTGGATACAACATGGATTTCTAAATTATTTTTTATGCTAAATAACTGTTTTTATAAAGTTTGCCAATGATCTACCATATGAAATGTTATGTGACTTGGATATTTGAACTGTTTATGGGTTGGGTTTAAAAAAAAAAAATAATACACACACACACACACATATTTGATTGTTTGATAAGCGTGAGGGCTAGTAGAGGACCGTTACCCTAGTGTCACAGAGTTAGGTGACATCGAGTCTGCATTATGTAGCAGAGGTACATAGATGGTCCTGCTTTATTAATCTGCGATATGCAATCCTTATATCTTTGGTATAGCTACACACACACACACACACACACACACTTAGGAGTGATCATGCTTGGTTAATCTACGATAGTGATCATTGCCTAACAAATGTGTAGAAGTGACTATGCTTGGTTAATCGACAATAGGGGGTCACTGCCTACTTAGTTACTTTCTCAAGAGTGGCTCTACTTGGTTAATCCACAATGGGGGCCACTTCCTGTTTGGTTACTTATGTAGGCTTTCGGCCGAACTGCGTCACTCTAGCCCTAGTTTTTATTGTTTTCGTGATCTATAGTTTTGAGAGCTTTGTGCCCTAGTTTTTTGTGTTTTCGTGATCTATAGTTTTGAGAGCTTTTGTTTTGATTTAGAAAAGTCATTGGATGTCTGGGTGACTCCTTTAGAGATTTCAAGGGTTTGGTATTCGTTTCTTACGAATGATTTATATTCGAGGTTTATGAACTGTGATCGATGGTTGGTTTCATTATTATTATCACATACTTTGTATTTTTGTCACTCGCACGAACTTCGTAGCTTATCCGGGTACATTTGATTTATAGTACATTTGAATTTTTTTAGTACACATTTATTTTCATATGTAACATAAATTTTAAAATACTAACAAACAAAAAAAATCACAACTGCCAACATAAAAAGGATATAATCTTTCCCTAAAAACAAAATATATAGTCTTCAATGACATTTTTGTGGAAAACAATATAATCTTCAAGGACATTTTTGTAAAAGTCTAAAAAACAATTCCGATAACCAAAAGAAAAATAAATAAATAAATAGATAAAATTTAAAAACTCTACTTCACAGGAGAGAAGTCCCAGTGGTGGGGTTGTACCACGCAAAAATTGAATCGTCTCAGTTTTCAAGTATTTTTGTTTACTTTTATTTTTCTCTCTTTGGAGTTTGATTTCCCTTTGTGTTTGCTCTTTTGCTTTTTTGAAGTCTAAATTGCGGCCAAAAACATAGACGAAAAATTATGGCAAAAATCTGTCGATAGATTCCGACGCGACTCTGAAAGGGCAGCGGTGATCGAGGTGAGATCAGACACATGCCGCAATGGGCAGTGAAACCCAATTTCAGGAGCAGCGACAGCCCGTATTGGTGGAGTTGAGCTCATGACTCTGATTCCCATTTGAATAATTTATATGGTAAACTGTCAATTTAGTTCCTGAATTATCACCTCAGTGAAAATTAGGCTCTTAAATTATTTTTTCAGAAAAATCAATGCTTGAATTATAAAAATCTGCCAATTACATTCCTAATATTATATTCAAAACTACTATATTTGAATTATAAATATCTGCCAATTACATTCCTAATATTATATTCAAAACTACTATATTTAATTTTCTGTTAATTTAAGTCACGTTAATTACATAAGTTAATGAAAAATTGGATAAAATAGCTTTGAATATAATAGTAGGGATGTAATTAGCAATTTTTAATGCATTTAGCGATTTATTTTACCCAAAAAATAATTCAAGGACCTAATTTTCACTAGGATGATAATTCAAGGACTAAATCGGCACTTCATCCTAATTTATATGATAGAGCAACTCAGAACAAATAGGTAATTCATCGTCTCTGATTCGCTTATGCATGTCAGCCTTTTTGTTCTGAGTTGCTCCGTAGAATGAAATTTGAGCAATTGACAATTGTAATTCGCTTGCAAGGCTGACATGCATAAGCAATTCAGAGACGATAAATTACCTTTTCCGTTCCGAGTTGCTCCGCTGAGTCGCGAGCTCAACTCCACCGATATGGGTTGTGCTCCAGAAATTGGGGGGGGGGGGGTGTCACTGCCCACTGCGGCATGTGTCTGATCTCACCTACACTATTCAATTTCAGAGTCTCATGGGCGACGAATTTCTACCAGATTTTTTTCCTCAGGAACTCCTCGTAACTCCTTTTCTTTAACAAAGCTGCTGAAAATGTATAAGTATCACAACATTTTACAGTGTAACCATAACCATCGAAAACAATGGCAATTATTCAAGAAAACAAAATAATTAAGAACTCTTCACTATGAATGCCCAATTCTACTATGGACCTGAACATAGGGCGACTTATGATAAAACCTGTCCCTATTTCTTCCGGAGACCAACAAAATGGAATCACCTTATGACAGTATGAGAAAAACAAAAGGGCATAACAATGCAAACAACTACAATCTCCACATCACCGGAGAACCAAGCATCTGTCCGAGGAAGAGCATGTCTCTAACGGGACTAGACAACATTTTACATGGGAGGCCTACCAGAACCAAGCAGCTGGCCGACTAGATTAGTCACCTGCAAACAACAAAATGTTTCAATCGTATAAACATCATAAAAAAAAACTTTCATTTGCATAATCATAGATGCAGCAGTAGCAAAAATTGTGAAGGTTTATCGCTTACTTTCCATCAAAAGCATTCAACTGGTAAAGACTAACACTCAAATTTAAAAATATATACTCTAAAAAATTGCAATCGCAATAGTTTTCGGAATTTTCAAAGAAATTATTTGAAGAGATGCAGTGGAAGTAGCTAAAAAGAATAAATTGAAGTGACAAATACCAATGACAGCAGAAATGAACAAATAAAAATATTTGAAGGATGACTGGGATTGTTCTTATAACTTACATGCCAATATTTAGACACGCACCGATCAATGCAACTGTTTTCACCCATGTTTAGCTCAGACTCCTTGTACCTGTATGTATTTGACAATTCACATTTACTAACTTGCATAACTTCAGTATTCAAAAAAGGACCTTAAAATAAACTGCTGTATATCTTTCATAGAGGTCCATAAAAACTAAATAGAGAAAGGAAAAGAGTTCTCATACTTCTTCTCAACGCACTTGTTGAAACATGTGTGGGTAAGCCTGCATCAATAAACAATTAAATGCGTAAGTGAAAACCGGCTAACCACTGGGGCCAGGCCAAAGTATTAGAGATGGAAAATTGCACATACCAAAGTGGCATTCACAACCTAGAATGTGCTCAGTGAAAGTGTATACCACAAATGCAAAGGACTCTAATGCTCACACATTGAAGCCACAAGACTTCCAAATAAGGTCGCTTTAGAAATATCGTCCAGAAGCCTTGTTTTTTAATGAACAATCATACATGCTCATCAACACAAAGTATTAAGTCCAACGGAAATAATCGTGAAACGGGTAAAAGCCAACATAAATAAACAAACAAATGATAACGATTATGGAAAAAGCCCCTAAAAGTTTCTCAAACTAGAATGCACAACCCTTTCTGCCTTCCATATAAAGCCACATTAGTACACCGTGATATCTAACGCCATACAGAAAACTTACTTGTTGAACAACTCAACCCTGTATTCCATCTCCTTCTCTGCCATACCAAAAATCTGCACATTCGTTGAAAACAAACTTCAAAACGCCAACATGGTTTGAAAAACACAACTTTTATGGCAACAATTCATAACAAAAATAATAGCAATCCATAAACATCAACCATATTGCTCCATCCAAACTCGAGGAAATGCCTCGGCTTCACTACTAATGTCGAAACACCGCCACCATCGACCCATTATGCAAACTAGACCGAATATGACTACACCCGAATTCAAAGAATACACAGATTCCCAACACCCATTAAAAAATCTGACCATGAATTTCCAATCTTGGGCAAACTTGAAATCCTATTAAAACTTCAAAAGGTAGAAACTTTAGAACAATGAAGAAAAGGGCACTCACCTGTTCCTTGTCCAAAACCGTCGGCGCATTAGGGGCAGCCATTAGATCCTGAAAACCCCCAGTTAATTTACACGATTCCTTCGAAACCGAAACCGAAATAGAATGAAGTAGCAGAGAGGGTTTAAGTAATCTTACTCGGTGGGAGAGAACCGAAAGTGTTGTGATTGCAAGCTCTCAGATGCAGAGGGTTTTAGGTATCTGATTTGAAGCTGCAGCAGGCAAAATTGGAAATAGCACTGGAGGTGGAGGTATACCGCACCAATTAGGGTTTTAGGAGTTAGTCTACCGTGTACGTGAGATAGACGGAAGCACAAGCCGTTCACTGAATTTCTATCCCCGAAAAGCAGAGGATTAATACCCTCTCTTTTTCCCTTGGTACACAAGTAGTGGATAATTTCACAAAGGCCCATGCTTGTATTATTTTGTTTAATAAACAATATTCTCTACACTAAAGGGAGGTGTTGAATTAACCTCACACTGAATTAACAATAATGTGATTCAAATTTATTTATGACGAGAATCGAACTTAAGAAGAATATTACTAGACCGTAATACTGAGTGACTTTAAAATTAGTTTTTGAAAAAGAAAAATATTTTAATTTTAATTTTTTTATTTACTAAATCACATTTCAACAGCCATTTTTTTTTATTTTTTTATTTTTTATGAAGGTGACCAAAAGGTGGCGAAGCCACGATCGTTCATTCTAGGGCCGAAAAGACTCAGAAAAAAAATTCAATATCAGCTTTCTTTTGGCCATCATCATGCGATTCACCTGCATAAAAAATTGAATATAGAACGAGTTGTGTGGAATAAGAACCTGAAATTCGCTCTAACTATTAGACCGCCTGGTGGTAATTTACTGTACACTGTTGTTCGAATCCAAAACTCAATTTTTTTTGCACTTTTTTGGGTATCACAATCTAGTAATCTACTAATAAGAAGTCACATTTTTTCTTTATGAAAAGACAAAAATCCCCTAATGCTTTTACCATCTCCTTAAAATCATGGAGACATGTTTAGATGTTTATTGGATAACAAGTTTTTTGTACTTAATCCCTTTCAAAATCTCCAATCTGCAAAGGTTTGTAGCTTAAGTAGTTAAGTGTAATTGGTCACGTGCTCAAGATTATGATTTAAATTTGCTAATGAGCCTAAACAAAATGTTATGTGACATACTGGTGCGGACAGTACAAACACCCAGGTAAACTGAATAATACTCATAACTTGAAGGAATCAATCTGAAACACTTGAAGGCTCAGGCAGAGCATTTGAATAAACCGGAGATTTCGAATTCATGGCGTTCATGCCGGTAACTTGTATGTTACAAGGATCATTGAGTAGGTACATACTGTCATTAACCTTTTAAATCAACGTAGACGCCAACAGCCTTCGTTGTTATGCTTCATGAACCATGACTTATAGGTACTAGGGCTTTATGGCATCTCCACTGAGTTCTTCCACACTGAGGAGTTCTTAACCGTACAAATAAAACATGCATACACGAAAGCTTTGCCAGACTAAGCACACAATGAAGACAGCAGATGGAAAACAGGTTCTTAGCCCCACTCATCCAAAGATACTATAACTTACTATCGATAGCCATGCGGAATAATTTATATTACAGATGACGGAGAACATGCGTAGAAATTTGGAGCTAAGCCTCCAACAAGAACATAGGGCCTAGTAGGAAGGCGTACAGACAAAGTAGCAGCATCAACAAGAGGAGAAGTGGAAAACTGCAACTTACCCCTACACATTCAGAGCCTTTTTCTTTTCCCTGCTGGTGTTCATGAAAGCACTTTGAAGTGAAAAAGCCATGAAATTACAAAGGCAAGGATCATGCAGGCAAGCAGGAAATTCATAATGCGGCGGCCATGCCACATGGTTCGGGTTTCAACCAGGATCATGGGTGCTGCTGGTACTGATGCGGATGTGGCAGCAGTGGCATTTGACTCATTTATCTGCTCACTGGAAATGTTGAATGCAGTGACGCCACAGATCTCGCAGGTTCTGTAAATTAAATAAATAAAATTATGCTTTGTAACAGTAGAATAAAACCTATGTAGAACAAGAATTGAATTGAACCACATGTGCAGTTTACTAAATTATCTTTACCATTAAACTTCATGTGAAAAACAAGACCAGATTGAAGTAAGAAAAAAGAAAATACATAGACAGAAAACAACATGTCACCTAGACAAGACAACTAATTGCAATCATAATGCAACGTATTAATTGCTTGTACAAAGAAAGAGACAGAAAGAAATGAACTATGGGGATTTTGAACAAACATAAAAGTGTATAATCAAAGCACTCAAATATCACCGGTCATCAGTAACTTGTTGGCAACACTTCTTGAGTTCAACATCAAAGTGCTGAATAATTAACTACCAGAAAGCACTCAAATAGGCCAGAATGCCATACAATCACTATCAAACAATGTGGCCAGGAATCTTCTATTCCTGTTTTTGGTAAAGAGTCCTGTCGTCAACATGTCATTCCATTTGCTTGCCATGATAACCAAAATCAAAATAGAATAAGCATGCTATCCTTTACTGATCCTGGTTATTAATCAAGCAAGTCTCTTAACCAATCCGTCTATAGTGTACGTTATAGTATTTATCATGTGATGCGGCTTAGGTAGACTATAATCTCTTGTTGCCAAAGTTTGGAGATTTCCTTGCAGGGGATATAGTGTGCAAGGTCCTAAGAATTTACCAAATTATCATCTTTGGAGTTATAAATAGAAAAGAAAATAGAATCCACATATAGTTTTTTTTCTCAAATTTATAAACGAAATAAAATGGTGACTGAACCAAGGAGCTAAAATTCATTTACGCAAATATCAACTTTTCGTAAACCATAGGCATGATTATATGAAACATTTACCTCTAAATAAGAAGCATACATAAAGAAATACATGGCACAAGATATCTACTTTTAAACACAGGAACTCAATTCTTGCACACAAAGACGACTCCTTTAGCCCACATTGGAACGCCTACTTTCCACTAATGTAAATGCCACAGAAGACGTGCCAATAAAAACTCTAAACTTATAGTGATTGATATCTTTGAGTTTGGATGGATTGTACAAGTGCTGACCAAGATTTGTTCTTCTACAAAATTTTCTCAATCATGTGGGCAACGTGATCTGTCTCATTCAACTTTCCTTTAAGAAGCAAAATAATAAGAACAATGGTGACCACTACATGAAAGGAAAGAAGCTACTTAGCTAGTAAGCAATCGAATAAGCTGAACTCTCGGGAGCAGGAACCTAAACGCTACCAAGATGGTCTATTATTCAACAAAACTACACATGCTCATAGTAAGATCATAGTTTGAAGTGAAACCAGATCAAAGTGAGAGATCCGACTCCCGAATACAATTACAATTACATCCATGTGCACTTCAATGCAGAATTGCAGAGACAGAAAGAAACATAATCCTAAAGTTTATGTACTCATCTTGTTTTTAATCTCCAAAAGGTAAAACTTCACCACAAAACAAGCCAATTTGTTCCATTAAGCGTCATTCGGATGAAAATTAAACAATCAGACGAGGAAAACATCCAGAATCCAGCAAATGGGTGTTCGTAATTACAAACAGAAACACCAAAAATCAAAGAAAATAATGAATTGAATTCAGAAAAAGTTTGTACTCACGTATCTCCCTTGATCTTGAACCAAGTCTCAGCACATTGCTTATGAGCAGCCCCCAAATCCCCCTTGCAAGAACACCCCAAATCAATTGGGACCCCAGAGCCAGAGTCAGTCCCACCGCCCCCTTCCAAACCCATGTGGCAAATCCTGCAATTTCTCTCAACTTTACTCAAATGCAGCACCTTCTTCAGCTCCAGAACCCCACTCTCCAAATCCACCTCCTCCACTGGACAATCCGACTCACAAGACTTCCTCCGGACATTGCCCGACTCAGACATAGAGTGCCAAGATTGGTCGTCGTCCGAGTCATCCGAGACCGACGCGCAGCCGCCCCCGGTGGCCGAACGGCGGTGGTGGGTTGCCTCGGAAGCTGACATTCGTGAAACCCAGAAGGAGAAATGGAATGAAATGGTGTAGGGAAGTGTTAAAGTAGCGGCATTTGGATATCGAACATGGTGGGGAGGAGAGAGAGAGAGAGAGAGAAGTCCGGGAGCCAAGGCGAATTATAAGGAGGATGGTGGGGGTAAAACTGCAGCGATCAGAGAAGTGTTTAAAAGGAGTTCAAAGGATCATAATAAAAGACTTGTAATCTTTAAGGCTGCCAGTTGTGGGACACTCACAGACAGAGGCACAGGCGTTACTGATAGAGACAAAGGTAAGACTTAAGTCTTACGAGTGTGTGCTTCCAAGAGTTTACAAGTCAGCAAACATAAAGAAGTTTCACATAGCACGTTTTCTAATAGTATTTTGCTGATTTTTTTAGGGATTTTAACGAAAAACTCTCATTATTGTTCACTTTAACGAAAAAATTTTACCCTTTATTTTGTTCTTTCAAATTATTTTCATTAGTTTTTCTAATTTTCATATGTACCTCAAATGTACCTGTCTAGAGTCTCTACCGATTTCTCAAGAGCATTTTACTGATTTCTTCCATGAACTTTGTGAGCAAAATTTCGTTGTCTTCGATTTTGATGAATTTGTACTTAAAAAATAAATAAACATATTTGATCAAAGATCAAAGCGCGCCCAATGAATAAGTCAGTTTCTTTGAAAAGAGAGAAAGTTTTAGGACTTGATTGCATAGCAAAAGATTATCAAAATTTGGTGGAGAGTGAGATATTTATAGGAGCTAAGGCCGGTCACATGGGTAAGGTTTGACATGCCATGTGTCGACATCCGGTTGGTCCAAATGTTTCATTCGTAAAATGAAGAGGAAAGAATTATCCGGATATTGTTTAATTAAATAATATTTTGTGATTATCTTGTAATATTGTTGATTAGGTATGATTGTAATTCATTACTTGATTGAGTTGATCTTAAATTAGGAGAGAATAAAGATAAGATTTAGTAATTAATGCTATCTTTAATACTTTTCACTTTTCTTCTCACCAACGTAGTGTTAGAGTGGATTAAATGTAATCCTAGTCAATTTAAGAAGGGCTAGCCAATTTAAGAAGGGCATTATCTTCATTTGCCAGTAAAAATCCACGTGTATACTTCAAGATTTTTCAAATTATTTTTTGCTCCACAAAATTTCTCCTCGCAGTCCCGTTGTCGAATTTGTCCCCTAAACATTTAGTCAATGGGGCAACTCATTTTCTATCTATAGATGGTGGATTACCCTAGTAGACCAAATCTTATTCTTCAACACATTATTTCTAACTCATTATCACTTTTTTTTAGTACAACTGATATATAAAAACTCATTATCACTTAAAAAAATTAAAAAAAATAAAAACTCATCTTCTACCTCCGTCTTTGACAAAATTTGAAAATGTTTCCATTTCTTTCAACTACTATTAATATTGTGAGTTATTGAATTCAAGTTAAGCATATACTAAAGTCACTAACTACTTCATAGAGTAGTCTGCGTTAAAAGAAAGGAATCCAAAAATATAGAAATATGTTTAACCACAATCTAATCCTCTTTGATAAACCGTAAGATGTACATCATTTTATGAAACTGGAACAATGCTCATTCTAGATAAGTAATACAAAGAAGGTAAATACAATTTTTTCATGGTAAAGCAAATTCCTTCCGATTACCCTTTTTTAACTTCTAACACTTCAGAATTTGACCTACCACTCACGTAAAAGAAAGAAAAATTATTCATTTACATCATTGATATGAAATGTTACAATAAGTTGCTTTCAAAGTTAGTACCCCTGCAAGGAATAGCTAGTTCTACATACATTACTATAAAAAATATTTTGCACGACGAAATTTTGGTCCCGCATGGTTCGTCATGCAAAGCTCGTGAAAACAGGGTTTGCGCGACGGAAATTAATCTTCGTCATGCAAAATAACTTTGCATGACGAAGACTAACATCATGGAAAGCTTTGTGCGATGAAATACTTCGTAGTGCAAAGATTTTTGTTTTTTAATTTTTTAATTAAAATAAATTAATTTAATATTTTGCACGACGAAATATTTTATCATGCAAGGTTTTTGACTTTTTAATTATATTAATTGTTTGCGCAACGAAATATTTGATAGCACAAGATTTTTCGAATTTTTACTTTTTTAATTTAATTTAATTGTATGATTTTACTTTTTTTAATTACTTTAATTTAAATTGGCATATTCAAAATAAAATTACGTATGAAAAATAGTGATCAAATTATCCAATATATATAATATATTCAAAATGTACACATAAATTAATAAAGCACAATAATAAAATCCTAATACAAATCTATTGTGGTGATAGTGGCGGGGGACAAGGTTCGATAGCGTCCTAATCCTCAACTTTAACCGTCAAAGTCTTGACAATTCCCTACAAAAAAAAAACAAATATGGTCAAATAACAAAAAAATAACATAAAATAATACAAAAATTTGGCATAATCTCCCCTAAAATTGGTGTACCCCAAACTCCACTCCTCACACTATACTCGACCCCAAACCCCGCACCAAACTCAAAACTAACTCAAAAAACACATATTAATGAAAAAAATTAAAATTTGGGGAGAATATACCTTTTGGCAAGATTGAATGAGAGGGAGGAGTGAGTGTGAGAGAATTAGAGGAGATAGTGAGAGAGAGATGAGAGAGTGAATGAGAGTGAGAGATAGTGAAGAGAGAGAAGAAAGATTAAGTGAGAGGAGTGAGTGTGAGAGAGAGGGTTGGATTTGGAGAGAGGAAAAGCGAAAGAAGAGGTAAAAGTAGAGAAAGACATTGAGAAAATGATGGAGGGGTCATTTTGGTTTTAAAAACCGTATCACTTTACGTGACAAAGGATACGAGTTTGTGCGACGAAATATTGGTCACACAAAGTCTTAAAAAAAATTTCCCACGCGCCATTTTTGGTGCCCACCCAAATTTTTAGAGTTTTGCCTGACGAAGTGTTGGTCGCGCAAAGTTTTGCGAGACGAAAAATTGGTCACGCAAATTCTTAAAAAAAATTTAAAATATAAATAAATTAAAATAATAAGGTTTAGGAGATCAAATGTGTACTCATAGCGCAAAGAAAATAATAAAAAGTAAAGAAATAATTTAGCTTAACAATATAAAACATAAAAATAAATAAAAAAATAAGTAAATAAGGGTTAGGTGACAAAATATTGATATTTGTCGCACAAAGTTTTTAAAAAATAATAAAAACTTATGAAAACAACTATATTTTAAAATTTATAATATAAAATTAAATAGAAAACAAAAATAAATTGGACACATGTATACATTATGACGTTGCGCTATTAATTTTTGCTCAACAACCCCATTGTGGCGTCGCAACAAGTTATATTTTTTTTAAAAGTATTATTATAAAATTTACTAAAAATGTGACTTTACTCTCTTCAAATTCAATTTTCCTTTTTTACATAAAACCCACAATAATATATTTTTCTAACAAAAACCCAATCCAAATTGTCAATCCCAGCTTGGGGCGGATCACTTCTCAGGCCCGCTCCACCACCATAGCACAATATTGTCCGTTTTGGGCTTATCATTCCCTCACGGTTTTATTTTTGGGAGCTCACGAGCAACTTCCCAGTGGGTCACCCATCATGGGATTGCTCTTCTCGCTTAACTTCGGAGTTCCTACAGAACCCGAAGCCAATGAGCTCCCAAAAGGCCTCGTGCTAGGTAGGGATGAGAATATATATATATATATATATAAGGATCACTCATCTGGACGATGTGGGATGTTACACGAACTACAATAATGAATTTAAAGCTACTTAATAAATATATATACCATTCAATTTCTTAAATGTTATACGTACAAAATAAATAAATTTAAAGCTACTTAATAAATACACACACACACACACACACACACACACCATTCAACGATCCAACCATCAAACTTGTTTGTATATATTTCAAGATCATATAGGCAAAAATTTGAAAAAAAACAAATATTCAAAGATCAAGTAACGGGATAAAACTTTTCGACGATTATAAACAAAAAATCATGATTTAACGGTTATTTTAACTCCGATTTTGATGATCTTTTACAGTTACACTCCTTGATCCTATATGAATACAATGAATGAATTTGATCTTCAATTTAAAATATTTACACTAGTGGATACCACAAAATCTTATGTTATACTTAATGAAAGTATAAATAAACTCTAAGTATTATTGACTCTATTGTTTTGATAGAATACACATTCTACAAGAATCTATTGTTTTGATGGGATACGTATTCTACAAAACTAGTTTCAACGATCCAACTATCAAACTTGTTTGTATATAGTTTGAGATCTCATACGCCAAAAATGGAAAAAAAAACAAACATTCAAAAACCAAGTAACGGGACAAAACTTTTCAACGGTTATAAACGAAAAATCACGATTTAACGGTTATTTTAACTCCGATTTTGATGATTTTTTACAGCTATACTTCTTGGGCCTATATGATTACAATTACTGAATTCAATCTTCAATTTAAAATATTTACACTAGTGGATACTACAAAATCTTATGTTATACTTAATAAAAGTATAAATAAACTCTTAAGTGTTAGTGAATCTATTGTTTTGATTGGATACGCATTCTACGAAATTAGTTTCAACGATCCAACCATCAAACTTGTTTTTTTATACTTCGAGATCATATACGCCAAAAATCGCAAAAAACAAACATCCAGAGACTAAGTAATGGGACAAAACTTTTCAACGGTTATAAATGAAAAATCAAAATTTAACAGTTATTTCAACTCTGATTTTGATGATTTTTTACAGCTACATTCCTTGATCCTATATGAATACAATGAACTAATTCGATTGTCAATTTAAAGTATGTTTTTCTAACAAAAACCCGATCTGAACTACAATAATATATTTAAAGCTACTTAATAAATATATATATATATACCGTTCAATTTCTTAAGTTATACATACAAAATAAAAAATGAAAATAAATTGGTTTAGTTGATGAAATATTTGGATTACGTCGCACAAAGATTTTAAAAAAATATTTTATTTATTTTTGTAAAGATTTTGTGCGGCTAAGTTTAAAGTTTTGTATGTGTGTTTCATCTTAAATAGAAGCACTATCAAAGTGACACACAATGTAGAAAATCCGTCTTCGGGTGAAGGTTCCATACCTAGGGCTATAGGACGAAACAAGG